TGCCCCCATGCTGGGGCATTCCCCAGCCCCTGGCCGCAGCCCACAGCAAACAGCAGGCCCTGACCTGTGCCAACCCCTGCCCGCCCAGCCGTCGCAATGCCAGAGCTTCCTCCCGTGCCCACTTCCTCCCGGGACAACGCTCCCAATTCAGGCCCGAGCCTCAGCCCTTCCGCACGGCGTGGCCACCCCCAAGCTGGCTGCATCAATATTGACCGGCTAAGAATAGCCCCGCGGCGCTGAGAATAGCCCGGCAGCACTGAGAATAGCCCTGCAGCTGCCGGGCCGGGCACGGGGCAGGGGCGCGGGCTGCCAGCCTCCGCGTCCCCTCCGGCACCCCAGCACCAGCTGCAGGTGCCGGCTCCCACGGCGCTGGCCCGGTGCCCGCCTCGGTGCCAGGGGCTTCCTTCCCCAGCGCTCCCCATCCTGCCCTGGGGCCGGGGTAGACCCCAGATGTCTGAGCACCTGCCCCACCCCTGGCTCTAGCCCCCGAGCCCGGGGCATCTTCAGGGTGCCATTGCCCTGGCCAAGCTGCCCCCGGTCTGGGCAGGTCTTGCATTCAGAGCAGGAGCCGGCAGGCCGGTTGTGCCGGCTGGGGGTCGCTGAACGGCTTTGGGTGGGGGTCGGGGGCCAGGCACCGGGCTCTTGCTGGACGCGGGGCGGCACTGGCACGGGGCTGCTCCGGGCACTGTGGGCACGGGGGTCCAGGCCCTGCCAGGGCTGGGAAGGCAGCAGGAGCACAGCCGGGAACAGGGGCCCTGGGGCAAGGCAGGGGCTGGGGGTCCCCGGGAGGCTGCGCAGGTGCAGGCGCCGCGGGCTCGGGGCAGCTGGGGGGCAGGGCACGTCGGAGCTATTCCAGGCCGTGTTGTTCCTGGCTCGTCCCGGCAGGAACCTGCTGCTCGGCCCCGAACAAACAGCCCCTGGCCGCAGCGCGGTCCTGGCCTGCCCCCGGCCCAGCAGCAGCCCTTCCTGTTTACCCCTTCGAGGCAGGCATGTGGGCACCGCGGGGGGGCTCGGAGCGCTGCCCCGAGGGCTGGCTGCAGCACTGGTGCCCATCGCAGGGCACAGGGCAGGGGTGGCTGGGGGCAGCGGCCAAGGGGGACCCGGGGGCAGCAAGTTGGAAGTGGGGGGCACCCAGGGCTTGGGGTAGCAGGGGCTGAGAGTCGGGAGCGAGGGGCACCGGCAGGGCTGGGGGGACCCCAGGGGTAGAGTAGCAGGGGGCTGCGGGTAGGGAGTGAGGGCTGGGGTAATGTGGGGCATAAGTGTACCTGCAGTGGAGGCTGGGGCAGCGGCCAAGGGGGACCCGGGGGCAGCAAGTTGGAAGTGGGGGGCACCCAGGGCTTGGGGTAGCAGGGGCTGAGAGTCGGGAGCGAGGGGCACCGGCAGGGCTGGGGGGACCCCAGGGGTAGAGTAGCAGGGGGCTGCGGGTAGGGAGTGAGGGCTGGGGTAATGTGGGGCATAAGTGTACCTGCAGTGGAGGCTGAGGGCACGTGCCCTGCCCTGGCCTGGAGCGGGGGGGCTCAGCCCTGGCAGGCTGGGGTGCTCGGGCCCGGGAGGAGGCTTGGCCCAGGCTGGGAGCTTGCAAGGGGATGGACCTGAGGGGGGGGCGGGCTCTGGCCACGCAGGGCACCCCCCCGCACCCACCCCTGCGGGGGCTTGTCCAGGCCAGAGCCCAGGATAAAAGGGGACAGCAGCTGCGGGAGCCAGAGGCAGCACTGGGATCCCTGCAAGGACCACGAGGAGCATCAGCCCAGCCTCGTCTGCAGCCTCCGGCCACCCCGGACCTGCCACCCCGCTGCGTGAGTGCTGGCATCACCGGGGGCCCCAGGCTGGGGGGGCGGGGGGCAGGGCAATGGGTGCGAGGGGCGCAGGCCCTGCAGGGCCACGACTGGGGCCAGCCTTAGCCAGGCGCTGCTGGCCCGGGGGACAGTGGCAGCGGGGG